TATGGCTTTGTTGGTAATTTAATTACCTTTCAAACGATAGGCTAAACGGCGATAGGCTAAACGATAGGCTCCTATCTTTCAGTTGAGAGAAAAGGGATTTTTTCAGGCTATTTTTGTATATATACGATATACTTACATTGTGGTCCCGAAAAATTCTTTTTATTTTAAATGATAGTGGTTTTATGAATTCCATGGAAAAATATTTTCCATTAAATGACCCGTTTAATTAGTTGATAGATATTTATTTATGTTTTTAGCAATTTTAAAGAATTAGATATTTATTTGTATTGTTAATGATTTTAAAGTCAGTTCCAAGATGTACATGTGTGTATGTATGTGTAAGTGAGTGTGTGTGTGTGTGTGTATATATATATATGAGTGTGTGTGTGTGTGTGTGCATATGTATTTATATATGAGTGTTGTATGTATGTATAAGTATATATTTAATGTTAATTAATTTGCATAAGTTAAATTGTTGTACGACTAGGAGATGTTATACAAGCTGTTTTTATTATTCATAGATATGTTTTATTGATGCTGGTATATTGGTCATAGAAGCATCTTTCAATTGTTTTATATAAAATAGATGCGATTTTTCATTGTTTATTGTTTAATAATTTGTCTTCGGGCTCAGGACCGGGGAGGTCAGACGCTTAGCGATCCAGTAGCTTAATATATGTGCTAGTGGACGGTGCTGAGGCTGTCGGTGTGTCCCTGGCCTGATCGAAGCTCTATTTTTTTTAAAGTAGGTTAAACATTTTGAAGTAATTGTTATTAAAGTCATATGGAAGTAATATTGTGTATCGATTGAGCTATTTGTAGTTCTAGCTTTGAAGAGGATCCCATGGTTGACTAATAAAAAGAAAATACCGGGATCGAAACGTCAATAAACAGAAGAAATGAACATTAATTAGTTTATTAAATAATAATTAAGTGACCTTATTCCCAATAAAATAGTGAAGTTTGAATTTAATACTCAAAGGTCGATGAAGGAAAAGTTGTAAATATATATATATATATATATATATATATATATATATATATATATATATATATATATATATATAGAGAGAGAGAGAGAGAGAGAGAGAGAGAGAGATAGAGATAGGGCTAGGTGAAACGTATAGATCCGTCGAAAACCGCATGTCGGAAATTTGACCCGATTGCAATACTTTCCTTACCTTGTACAGGTAGGAAAGTAATAAAATAAGTTTAAAAAATGTGTAAAAAATACAATAAGCTGTATCATCGCTAATACTGGTTCGATTCCGATGGTTTTATTTTTGTTTTGTTGGTAATTTAATTACCTTTCAAAAGTTTTATTATAAATTTCACCGTATAATATATACTTAGGGTGTTAGGCCCCATAACATTTTTGTTTTCTTTATAACTTTTTTCCCGAATTTTTACGGGAACTTAGTCTATATATATACGAAAATTGAATGGACAATGATTAAGAACATCTTTTAAAGTCTCATCAAAATCGTTAGAGTAGTTTTCGCGCTACAGTCTATAGGAAAACATGTTTTTCATTGATTGCGCATGGAGCAATGAATTTCTGTCACAGGCATCAGTAGTCAAAATCCTACAAAATAAAAAAAGAAGCAACAAAATCGGTTCAGTAGTTCCCGAGAAAATTTTGGTACAGACAGAGAGACAGACAGACAGACAGACCAATGGCTAAAAATGTATTTTTCGGACACAGGGGGCTGTGAAACGTATAGATCCGTCGAAAACCGCATGTCGGAAATTTGACCTGATTGCAATACTTTCTACTTCCTTTTCTAGTATAGGTAGGAAAGTAAAAAAGAAATCGATTGATATATTGTAACCTAAAAATCCGAGCGAAGCAAAGGCAAAATTAAATCATTTAAATTTTGTTTTAAACTATATGAAATATTTTTTTCTTCGCTATCTAAATATTTTTCGATGTAGATCACCGAATAAAATTTGGTTGAAATAAGTGACCCGCTGTAGCCTCCCTTGTTAGTAAAAAAACTGTTCCTTCAACCCGTGCTTACAATAGTGCTTCTCTTCTATAGAGTGGGTTGAACAGACTTTCTTGATAAGATAATATCCTCGATCTCTTAATTAAGCTTTAATATAACAATTGTATTTGGGCCTTAAAATCATGTTTTTTCGTTTTAATTATCATCCACCACGAATATATATATATTAAACTTAAGATATGAATTATAGTTAAAGAAGTTAAGATATGAAATTTCATGACCTATTATCCGACTATAATTCATATCTTCAGTTATAATATATAAAGGTCGAATTATAAAAAAACATTGTAATATATTGTATATATATAATGGTCTTGAATTTTAACTTTAACTAATTTGTTAGATAAAGTATAATTAGCTAAGGAAGCCATTTTGCATGACTAAACGGTTCGTCCCGGATTGGCTCTGGTTCTTGCAAAAGAAGTTTCTTGTATCCTATCATTGGTTATGGCCCCAGTTTCCCCGATCTCAGAGGACGCCTCCAGCGTCTACATGTTATACAAAAATTATTACTAACACATGTTATACTTAACATTATTACTAACAGTTAAAATTCCCAAATTCAGAGCCAGAGCAGCCGTAGAATTGGAGTGCCCTTGTCTCCAGCAAATAAGATTTTTTTTTTGGTAGCATATTATAGAGGTTATTTTTTTTTATTATTTATTATTTTTGTACATAGTATAACTTACTGTATGTCTGTGAGGAGAAGTGCAGGACAACACGGAAGTGTTTAAGTGGTGTTCCAAAGGAACAGAGAAAAGTGTATTTTATTTTTGTTGTATATAGCGAATTTCTTTTATTTCGTTGTTTCTAATTATATGAGATTGTAAGTACTGAACACTCCGTACCTTGGCCACAGTGTAAGCAAGACCATAATGTTGCGTTTTATTGTTTTATTGGTATTTCATTGGATTGTTTTTTTGTTCTGACTAGTAAAGTTTACGAAGACTGTCCGTAAACTGGTGGGGGGGAGTTAAGGTAAGGAGCGGCACAGTATTAGGGTTAATACCAAACGTACTGATGTAAACAAGATCAAACTGTATATATAGAGGATTAGAAGCAACAATAAACCAGTATTGATTATACACAAATATCGACTTCATGCGTTTCATTTCGTTAACCTTTTTCTCTTTTTTTTTTTATTGTCACAAGTCCGAGACACTTAACTTATATATGTATATATATAAATGTATTTTTATTTATTGTACATAGAGTGTGAATGTGACATCTAATCACTATTATAAATGTCCTTTGAGATAGATTGTAATATTTCTCTACTAAGTAAAACTAACATAAATAAAAATAATTTATGTAATTATAATTACATCCCTAGTAAAATTCAAAATCCTTCTAAATTATTTGCACTTATGCTGGTTATACTTAGTAGAGAAATATTACAATCTGCCTCAATGGACATTTATAATAGTGTTAAGAGTCCTACCTACTCAAAGCGTGTAATTGAAAGTTGTGAGCTGAGCGAACAGCATCAGATTTCATTAATTTATTAAATATTATAAAATTACTTGAGTAACATAGGAAAATATCGGGCCATAATCGATATCAAAGAATCATAGTAAGTCATAACTGTATATATTGCAATTTTTTTATCATCATAGTACTATTTTCAATGCTGGAAAATAAATTCCTGCTTGTGTTAATATTAGGGCTTTAATCATCTGTAACATGTATTTTTAATTTCCGTAATCAAATAAGAAATTATCTTGAAAAGTGGTTTTCGTTTGGAAACTAGGATTATCAATTTTTCACTATCGCCATAGTTCGTATGTGATTAGTTGATGTATAAGTCACTTAGATTTAAGTGTTTTAATCTACGCCATTTAAACAGTTCTTGATACTTTTCAAATGGAATTAAGAGATTAAACCGTCTTCAAGAATTTAGCAAATAAATATAGGGTTTTCGTCAAAATCTAAAAAAATTAGAAAAAATCTAGAATTAGCCGGACATGGAAGGCAAATAATGACTATTTTTTGAAGTAACTATTACTAAATTTTTCGAACAATTATTTTCCGAAACGAATATAATTCAAAACGACCACCGAATGAGATTTAATGATATGAAAATCTGTTATATGTGCAGATATAAACTTTTTTATAGTAAGAAGCATTTATATATTTTTCACTAAATTATTCTTTAACACATCTAACAGTATTTTTAATAGTTTTTGTATAAACGAGTGTAACTTTGTGTTTATATATTCCTTTTTACTAAAGAGGTAATTTGAATTTATCGTTGATCGTTTGTAATATCTAAGTGAGATCCGAATGTTGTTTTTAAAATTGCTTGTACGTTGTTCGAAAATGGGTTACTTATCCCTGTTTTAAATGAGCTGAAGGTTTGAGGTATTTAACAAATTTCGATGGTTCCACAAAAATAGGTGGATGATAATTATAGGTATTTCTTTGTAAGGAATAACAGGTCAATTTATCTGTTAAAAATAATCAGCTTTAAGCTTAACCTATTTAAAATCACGTTGTTAATTATTTATTATGAAAATTACTAACGCTTTCGAACAAAACAGTCATGTGGAGGTTAGGGGGAAAATTGAAGGCGTATTCATTTCTTCTTATCTAGAGATCATTCTAAATTTTTTCAGGTTAGGAAGGGCCTCAACGTTCATCAACCAATCATTTGATTCGATTGATAACAACGATTCCCCAGTTCCCGCCGAAGTTGTCCCAATTTTTCAATATTGATAATTTTAAAATCGTTGATAAGGAATATAAGAAAATTGTCCAGTGTTATTGTTTTAGATTATAATATCAACAAGCCACAATGATAGCATAGGAATAACCTATGCTCAACATTATAACACATCGATTTCTCGTGAGTATTCTATGTATGTATTCGTTAGAATTGTGTATAGCGTTTTATTAAGTATCATTCTAAAGTACTATTATCGTTCATAAGACGAAGCTTAAAGAAAATAACCCGCAAATGAAGCTTAAATTTATATTAAAAATAAAACTAAAAGTCTGAGATAAGGTCATGCATTTTTAAATTATTTTATTTTTTTAAGAAAAGGGAAGTCTACTTTTCACTACCTTTCTGTCCCTCAACCTCCTCTTGTTTCACCGGTTCCCAGTTCATTACACTAAGTCGGTAACTGTTAATAACGAGGGCTGTCCATCCCGCAAGCAATATCTCAACGGCTATGAACACTACGGCGTAGTATATCTTCTTGAAGGGGTACACCATCATCCCGATGCAGCCGAGGACGCAGCCCAGGAGTATATGAAGAACGTAGGCGAGGCAGAGCCAGTTCTCCTGGTTCTCCGACTTGAATGTGCAGAAGAGGGCCAAGATTCCCAAGAAGGTGAGGATGGTACCAATCACCACAAGACTCCTGAAGGCGGCTTCCCAATCCCCGGTACCTGCGTTCAAAGTCTTCAACACACCGTAGGCCAAGTATCCGCCGCCTACGAGAACTTCTATAATAGCGGATATAATGCAGCCCAATTTGAGATTTACACAGCATATAAGGCATTTTTTCAACCGGATGCAAGCGCACTCTTCGCAAGTGATATCTGGAAACATGCCCTTTCTTCTTACGATAATTCGCTATGTAAGGTTGCCATTGTTAATTGAGGTAGTTAGTAGAAGGTTTTTTTTAATTATCTCTTTCTACCTCATTCAACAAACAAAAAACATATGATCGGGATTTTTTTTCTAACAGTTTTATTTTCAGTATTTTTTTTCGATCTCTTTCTTAGTCATTTTTATACTACGTATTACTTCACCATCTCTTAATTTTATTATTTTTCTGATTGATTTATGATAATCATTATTAAGTTTATAATTCCTGTATAATAATGGAATTACTAATAAGGTTATGATGTGATTAAATACAGACCATGAATTTATTATCTCTTTTCACGTATCGATACTTAATGATACATTTGGGTTTATGAATTAACGATATCTTGAATAACTTATATTAATATGGAAATTTTAATGATTTATTTTTCATATATCATGGTTTACCTTTTATTAAATCTTTGAAGCAATGAGTAATACTATTTGACGTTTCTTCTATTCAAATTAGTAGATTATGGTTTTGATATGTTTTAGCTGCTTTCCTATTTACATGAATTCATGAATCATAAATTATAGCATAGCAGGTCTTATTCAACTTTTTCCCAGTCAAATTCAATTTTTTCATAAAAGAAATTCAATATGTTCCGATGAAATGTAATATTATCTCTTATATCGAAAAATTCTGAAAAATTAAAATAAAATGAAATTTGAGTAAAAAAAAAAAAAAATTTGGTTTGGTTAAATAGTTTAATTATACTTGGAGATAGTTGAATATGACTTGGAAATGCCACTTATTATCTCTTTTCCATTTATCGGTACATAGCGATATTATATATTAAGATATTAAAGATATTTAGAATAGGAAATCGAAGTTAGTACCTCAGTGCATTAACTCTTTCAACAGGATATATCAATAACAAAAGAAAAATTGTGAAATAATTTTGACTGATAAATATCTTAGTTGGAGATGAACATAGTAACTAGTTTTTGTGCCGACTTTAAAGAAAAAACTTATGTCCAACTCTGAATGCTATACGTAGATATGCATTGTTAGCGAAAATATATAAATATGAATTTGTTGAAAGATAATAATTGAGTATCACTTGTAATAACACTAATGGATTGTCCAAACCATCAATATTTTTTAGCTTTTTATCTTTAGTAGAATTATGAAAAAATGGGCATCAAAGGTTTTGATATGAAACAGCATTTAGATACAATACCTTGACCAAGTATGTATACAAGTCAAAGTATTATAGTCCGTGAATCGATTTTTCACGAAAAAAAATAATCGATATAGATCTTATAGAACTTAGTTCCTCCTATGTTTTACGTATTATAACAGTCAAGAAAAACGTTATAGTTTGTAAAAAATAAGTTTAATAATTTTTTTTAAATTATGTTTTTAATTTATTCAGAATACAGCTGAAATCCCAACCCATCCCAACACGGTCATCACCACCTATGCAGAGCGTAGGTAGCGTAGGTAGTTGCTTTATACAATTGCCTGTATTTAACAGTTTATATTTTTTCATATAAAAGTTAAATTTTTGAGTGAATTCATGTCCGAAATTCTGCAAACTCTCAACATTCGAGGGTTTAATGGTAACTGCGAGGTTTGGCCATCAATGAATACAAAATGAATATTTAACTATTCGTGAATAAAAACAAATCACCAACATAAACAATTTCCACTGGCCACTGGTATCCTATCGGTTAATAATGACCCTTTAATTGCATCCCAAACCGTCCAATCACATATCACAAACCTTGAAGAATGGTGTTATAACTGGAGAATAAAAATAAATTCCATTAAATCCCATCAGATTACCTTCGCCCTTCGTCGTAAACCTACAACTTCTTGTCCTACTATATCCTTCAATGGTATTCCACTTGTTCCTGTTGAACAAATCCGCTACCTAGGACTCCATTTGGATAAACGTCTCACTTGGAATCCGCATACTAGACTGAAACGAAAAAAACTGCTCGACGTTTCCGACTGCTCCAACACTTACTAGACAAACGCTCTGAACATTCAAATAATTATAAGACTTATCTTCTTAACCATAATAAGATTTATATGGACATAAGGAGTTGAGCTATGGGGCTCTACCAAACCATCGAATTCCTTCCTATCGTATCCAATCCTTACAATCCAAAATCCTTCGTAAAATCCTTAATGCCCCATATTTTGCCACAAATAAAACTATTCATTAAGACCTTAATTTCCTATATGCCGCTGATTAAGCCAGATACCTATCCTTTCATGATAAACTCCAGTCCCATCCCAATCCACTTGTTTCCAGCCTTGCTTCTTCCTCGATTCCTGATAATTCTCCTAGGCGTCTGAAAAGAAGATGGCCTCGTGATCTTCTCACCTAGAATTAAATAGGGAGTGCTACCACTGGGAACTATCTCTTTAAGTCTGTTCCTGTAATGATTTCTAATGTATGCATTTTTATTACTCGTATTTTTAATACAGTTGTAAATTTCATTAAATAAATAAAAATAAAATATTCAGAAACCATTTTACTGTTAGTAGACATAAGTTCCCTGATTTTTAAGCTAAACATTTATTGAATAGGTTGATTAAGTTGAAAGTCATTTTTTTTTAAAGTACTGGCTGTATATTATTGTAATTTTAAGGTCTTTCTGTTTTTAGTGTCTAAGAAATCGTTTTAATATTTTGATTGGTATTCCAAGAAAATCTATTTAAGTTTTGTTAGATTTCTGTCATACTTGGATATTATAAAGATTTATAATTCTTCAATAATTTTCCAGTTATTGGGTATCTCTGGAAGTATTTAAAATATACAATTTCCTATAAGAACTGATTCGATGATCTAAAATTTTTTCCAAAAATTACCTGAAAAACCTGCTAGAGACATGGTTATAATGAAAGAAGACAGAGTACTCAATATAAAGTTTATAATAACCATAATAGTAATTAACCGTAATTATTATTTATTAAATATAGGGTTTTTAGTGTCTAAGAAATCGTTTTAATATTTTGATTGGTATGCCAAGAAAATCTATTTAAGTTTTGTTAGATTTCTGTCATGCTTGGATATTACAAAAGATTTATAATTCTTCAATAATTTTCCAGTTATTGAGTATCTCTGGAAGTATTTAAAATATACAATTTCCTATAAGAACTGATTCGATGATCTAAATTTTTTCCAAAAATGACCTGAAAAACCTGCTAGAGGCATGGTTATAATGAAAGAAGACAGAGTACTCAATATAAAGTTTATAATAACCATAATAGTAATTAACCGTAATTATTATTTATTAGATATAGGGATTTATTATTTATAGGATCGAATCCCGGCCCTACTTCCCGATATGGCTGGTCCCCGCGCGAAGTTAGACGGTCTAACTTAGACCGTTACCCTCTTAATTGGGGAGCCCTACGGTGTAATACTTGTAAAAACAGGCTATACAAAAAAAAGTATTTATTATTAATTAATGCATCTAATATTATTATCAGCAATAACTGCTTTCCTCTGATATCCTACGTGTAACCATCTATCTCATAATACAGTTTTTAGAAATATATTTGTAATGATACTTAAAAAAATATTGAGGAAGGTCGAGATCAGGTGAATGAGGTCAGAACCTCACAAATACATACCTGGCATCATTATTACATACATTATTGTACCCTGCATCTAACGGTAGAATAGTTACCTGTTGAAAAGACGCAGTACTTGAAGGTTACACACTTTATAAATTTAATGAAGACATTAGGGACCGCGTTGAGTCAAGTAGTGCTGAGGCAATCAGATACCCGCATTATCTTCAACAGCATGCGGGTCTATTATGCTCACTTCATGATTTATTACGTACAGAAGAACATCTATTCACAAAGTCGGAGTTAATAATTGGCGAAGTCAACTTTAGATACAATGTCAACAATTCCTATATACCTTTGCTTTGTTGATAAATTGACATGTGTAAGAAAGGTTGCACATCCCGAGTACTGAAATAGTATCTATAACCTTAAAAAGAATTTTTAATAAAATTAAAAAAAATAATAACAGCGTAAATTAGCAATTAACCTGCAAGAGAAGGTTTCTAGAAACTCATCAAGTACAAACTATTGGCATGATAATGGTGAGCTTCTGATTTGTTCAATCGTTCAAGCATGATTTAGATACATCCTCGTACTGTTTAGTATTACCATTTTCTCCTTACTCCTTACTCCTTACGCATAAATCTTATGTGTTACTTATAAATCTTATTTGTTAATTACATTTTCATGATATAATTTATATAGTTTTTTTAGTATTTCTCACTATAAATGACGTGAGCATATTTTATTAAATTTGAACTGTGGGCAAAGAATGAGGATTAAATGTAAATTAAATTAAATTAAAAAATCAAATATATTTATTGCAAAAAAAAAATCATTAAGTGGCATTTTATAACCTTAAATTATAAGGACTTATTAACTCCCACTTATTAAGCCTACTTACTGTGTTGTTTTTAATCCATAAATAAGGTCGAAATTCACAAAAACGTTCTTAAAAGCTCTGTCACAAATATATATCACAAATATGTAAAATGAAAATACCTATTTTATGAAAGTACTAATTTTCGAAGTACTGAAAGTTCATAAGTATGTACTTAAAAGGTTACCTCCTACAAAAATTATCCTACAATGCCTATACTAGGTAAGGAAAGTACATTTTTAGCCATTGGAATGCCTGTCTGTCTGTGAAAAGATTTTAAAATTCACTTTATGCTCGGGAACTGCTGAACCGTTTTTGTTGTTTCTATTTTTATTTTGTAGGATTTTGACTACTAATGCCTCTGACACAAATTGGATGCTCCAACCTCAATAGCTGCTGCGCGATAAATGTTTTTCTATAGACTGTAGCAAGAAAACGGCTTGAACTATTTTGATGAAACTTGCCTATAATGTTCTAATAATTGTCCTTTCAATTTTCCTACCTGGACTAAACTCCCAAGAAATTTCAGGAAAAAAAGTTATAAAGAAAAGAAAATTTTTTTTGGGGCCTAATATATTCTAACATTCTTTATTATATTATATTCTAACATAAAATTTATAATAATATTTTTTCCAACCATATTAAGCCAACCATATTTTTCTTAAAGGTGATGAAATCCCCTACAAAACTATATAAAAATCGTTTATTTTGGACAACTATTAACGAAGTTACAGCTATTCAATTTCCAATGTATGATTACGGGTTCATATCCTGGTGTCAGAAATGGGCGAACGAGAGAAAAAAGATGAGTAAGTGAATGTAAGAAAATCTGTTGCCCGCATCATACAAGCTTCACCATTTCCTCTACTTTTAACAGAAATAATTTTTTGACAATACTAAACTATTGCAAAAAGTTTTTGATCAGCAATATTAGAGGAGAGTATTGAAATTTCTAAACTGATCTACATTAAGCCGGATTAAATTGCTTTAGTTTATCAAATGAATCGTACTCAAATCTTTCCTTTGATGAATTTTCAGGAAAATAAATCTAATTTAATTTTTTTTTGTTTCTTCATGAAGATATGTAAAGATATAAATACTTTTCTGAAATAGCTAGGAAAGTCGTGTGAGTGGACACACCAGATTTTTTTTTTTTTGTAGTGAATTTTAAAACGTTTCAGAATGCCATAGGTAATATTATTAAGTTGTATACTTTTTGAGTTCTGCGAAAATAAAGAATCATTGTCTTCATAATTCTTTTCCCTGATTTTCTACCATATGGGCTTATTTATCGACTTAGAAGGGAAAGATAATATTCAAAATCATGGCTTAATCATTTATAAATTTTATAATTACATAACATATAAGGAATTTCCTGAGTTAATGCCTGTGAAATCAATACCTGATTATGGAAATGAAATGATGGAAGTTTTTCTACCATAAATAAAAGTAATAATAAGTGGAATAAATATAGGTTGCGTTAATGTTAACCTGCTTCTACATATCGGTTTTACCCTACATCAAACTCCAATAAATATGGGATGATGCATTTAAATGAAATATATTTATATAAATCGCGAAGTTTAATCAAAACATTATTAGAATAAAAATGTAATAAATCGGAATCAGAATAAAAAATAGAATCTAATCCAAAAACGGAGAATTGCTGTTAATTTAGGCTACGGAATTTTTTATGCTTAGTTAAAAAAAAGATTTTGTTCCTAAATAAAAACAATATTCTTATTATTTTTTTTTTAGATTCATCATATAATGCATACTAAAATGTTTATAATAAAAACAAATAAATAAATAAAATATCTATTCCATTCATTGATAGTATTTTCACAATTCCACTTCCTGCTCGTAAACTAGTGCGTGTATTTAGGAAAATTAGAAATTATTATACCATGAGGACGTCAAGAACATTCGATAGTTTCATAAAACACATACTCCTAGCTCATTAGAGATGGCAGATTAGCAGATATATTTCATTGCAACTAGCCAACTGTTGAACTTTATCAGACAGTTTATAGAAAAGTAGTGTAAAACCGTTGTCACCATCAAAACTATGACTAGAATATATTCGAATAGTATTGTCTATAGATAGTGACACTTTCTCTTATTCCATAGTAACAAAAGTTGTGACATTGAAAATAGTCCGTGGTACAGACCCCTTTTTATCAAATTATTGTTGTAATTGGGGCTTTTTTGATTTGTAGGCCGGCAAATTGATTTGTCTATTTAATTAGGTACTAAAAACTCGTAAATTTTCTTTCCACTTTATGTGAAATTATTTCAGTTATGTGAAATTTTTTAAAAACTTTTTTATAAAAATAGGTTCCAGCTCTTTATCTATTTAATTAGATACTAAATACTCGTAGATACCCATTTACTTTCCACTGGGATCGTAAGATAACTTGAACACAAAGTCGAGAAAAAAAGTGGGCTTCAAAAATATTGAGCCATTAGGCCTATATAAGCTCGTTATTTTGACAATTTGGGGGTGTAGATCACGCTAAATGGTTAAATACTTTTTAATGCCTTTTTTCTCGACTTTGTGCTCAGGTTATCTCACGATTAAAGTGGAAAGGAAATGGTTATTTTCTAGTTTTAGTTCCTAATTAAATAGACAAAGTTTGCCGATTTCCAGATTGAAAACGCCCCAATTCCGAGAATTTGCTTACATAAAATATTTGTTATGGTGAGATGAAGCTATTTACGAAGTTTCAGTCGAATGTTAATAATTTGATAAAAAGGGGTCAGCACCACGAACTATACGAATTGGCATGCTAACGTTCAAATCGATATAAAGGTAAAGTATTTTATGCATTAGGTAGGCTTCATAATTATCTTAAAAAAATTTAACCTTCTCACCATATAATTCCTATTATCATTCTATGTATTAATTAAAACCATTATCAGTAATACAATACTTTTTTTTTCAGGTGAGCTCCTGTTCAGTTGAGTAAGATAACATCCATAATAGGTACTATTGTTTTTTAATTATTCAATTAAACAACATTAAACTTAGATAAGTATAAAGAAAGTTTTATATTACCATAACCTTTAACAGCGTTTTACAATATTATACTTATGACATTGGTAGTTTCTCTTCCAATTCCGATTTCATCTACAGAACATTCTTCAGAAACCTGTATTTGGCATTCATCCGCATTCTGTATAGGTTTTTTTACTGTTTAAGAATAGTCACTGAAACGTCTACACCATAGAAAATCTTCCTGTATTCCAAAAAATAAGAAATAATCATATTTTTTTATTCTTTCTTTTTTTTTTCTTTAACCCATATGAAAAAAGAAACATGTGACATTGAAAATATATGAACTTTAATTTACGAGAAAGAATTTCTCTATTGATTAAAATTAAATTGTTTTAGGTTAATTTTATATCACATGAAAAAAAAAATCAATATATCGATCAGAATTTAAAAGCTTACTATCGATTGCGTTTGCATATCACATGGGATCAAAATTTAAATTAATCATATCGATTTTTTTTTACCCTTAGTCATTTATTCTAATGAAAATAATATCTGATTCGACATGGATATTTTTTAAGTTATAATAATAAAATAGATCAGTATTAGCTAAATGCCTTGAGAAATAAGTTAATAGCAAATATTTATTTGTTCTTTCCAGGTCGTTATGTGATATTGTTTTTAATACCCAAATCTTTTTAATTTTTGGAATGGTAGATATTGAAGTCAATATTGAATAGAGTAAGCATTAGAAAGCAACTATCTCGTTTCTAATTTATGATTTATTTCTTTATTGAGATTCTTAATTTTATTTAGCTTCTCAATTCAACATCGCGATTATCGGAAAATTATTTAAGTATAACCAATATGTCAATTCGGGTTAGGTTGATCATTAATTAGCTTTCGCAATTCATGGCAAATTTTTATTTTTTATAGGCATATTCAAAAACGTTTTTGACTTGGTAAAGTGGGAAATGTTATATGAATTATGTAATATTATTTATTTACTTAATTTATTTTTGTTTTGTCTTGCATTTTACTCAAAATGTTGTTTTTACATAAACATTATTGCTCATTTGCTTGGACAAAGGCTGGGGAACGGCAAAGTGGCAAAGTTTTGCTCCCTCTCAAAATAGAAAAAAATCAACAAATATAATCAACAAAATCTTTTAAAAATGACTGACCGCAACAAGTTGATGCCTATTATTTCAACATTTTGAAAGGAGCTAATTACTAAGAATGGTCACCCTCTTATTGAACGCCAAAATAAAATATTCACCTAACTATCAATTTCAGTTAATGTATCTTGTAGCTTCTCTTCTTTTTATCCATTTCAATTTTTTTTTTTTAATTTCTGATGAACTGATAGATCACAAATTTAATCTACTCTCTACGTTTACATAAAATCGTTATATTATTTTTATATTATATTATAAATCCACTTGCATTAAAAATATTTCTATTCTAAACATTTTATTTAGAGTAGCTGCTTTAAAATAAAGCACGGATTCTTCTAATCTCCTTCCGAGGAACTGCCAAATAATTGGAATGGGTTACTAAGGCAACCTTTAGTGGGCGTAGTGATGTTTATTGCGCACCGTGGCCATCAATACTGTCCAACCCCATTACCTTGCTTTAAAAGTGCAATAAATTTTAGTACCTTCGAGTCAGCCTTCGGAGTCCAACCACTGCTGTCAGGCTGTCTTATGTCTTGTACAAGTCCTATATTCACATTATGTCTTGCAATCAGATTCAAGAAATTACATTTATTATCGAAAACATTTCCTTAATTAAAAAAAGTTGTTCTTTGCTCTCTTATCAAAGGGATCAAAAATACTTTAGTTACTGCCATTAAAGTTGCCTGGAACAGTGCTAAATTAACAGTTATGTGTGATTATTGTTTTCATTTTTTTTCGAATGTTGCAGGCTCTTAATACAAAGAAAACAAACAAACAAAACAAAAAAAGAACGTTGACGAATATCATTTTAATTTTCAAAACTAAACTGAAGACATTTTCATTTTCTACGTAAGCGGTTATTTCTCATACAATAATACAAGAGTAAGCACTGATAGCAATACAACAATTAAAAATCATTAGCTTTTCTTAACCTATAATGATTTCCAAAGCTCTTTATTCCAGTCTATGTTTATAAATTCAATTATACTTACTTTTAGTCAATTTTAGTGAAAAAGTTTCTGTAACGTCTTAAGCATAGAGCGTTTTTTTTTTTTGTTTCTTTTTTATTTTATCCCATATATTATTTCTGAAATGTGTTTTTTTCGGTACGCCATAACTTCGTCAATTCTTCATCAAATCCGACGATCATCAAATTCTTCATCAAATCCTTTTTAAGTTATTCTTCTCCTTCACATGCAAAAAATAGTCCTATCCACCCGAAATTTCTTGGGGGAAAAGTTATGAAGGAAAAAAAACTTTATTTATGAAAATTAGAAAGATTACTAAATTACCTACAAAAGAAAAAAAAATTGGATAATTATTAGCAAAGATACAGTCCATTAGTTTTGGTATATTTAATAATGTCTTTCTGTTTAAAGATATTGCATTTAGGAGTATACTATAATATTCTACTACTTTTTTTTCCTGGGTGATATATTAACTTCATTATTTCTTAAAGACATTTGTTTATTCTTAAATTTTATTTTTTTTAATAATTTAGAATATCCTATGATCGGTGCATTATTTGGTCTTTATTGCTTTTATTATCTTTCCATTCGGCGTTTAAAAATAGGTCCTAGCAAAGCAATTTGTACAAATATTTTGGTGTGTTATGTTTAATGGAATATAGTAACCGACCAAGGAAAAAATATTTATTTATTTCCTACATAATACATAGGAACTACTTATTCTCATATTGTTTTGCTATTTCTTCACTAAACGAAATTTTCTGCGAATTTTTCGCAATGGCCAACTAGTTGAAAAATATAAGAATTAGTCTCCCTTAAAGGACTGGAATAAGGACTAGTAATATGATATACTGTTGAAAAACTAAATATTTCAAGAAAACAAAAAGAAAATTATAACAACTGAAAACTTTGATAATAACAAAAAAACTTGAGACGAGATTACATACAAATATAAAATTGATGACACATTCACACTTAATAATTATATTTACAGTCAGTCGAGGGAACTCCGAGTCTGACTCTTTCCCCCACGTGTGGTGGACAATTCGATGCTCTAAGAGATCCCAGCACCTCTCTCTCAGCTACTTCACCGGAATAGTAGTCCATTGGGAGGGGCACTAACGGCACTGACGCCTATGACTTGAGTGGAGAAGCTGGCCATTGCCAGGAATCAATTGTAGACTTATAGTTTAACTTAAATTAAATACTTATATGCAGTGTCGTATATATTTTTGTTTTGGAGCTATGTTGTCACATATATACGAATATTTTTCTGAGAGAGGGATTCAAGGTCCTTTAAACTTGTGTTTCCGTTGAAAACTCAGATTCTTATTTTTTTCATGATCTCAATACTTCCCCTTGTTATTATATTTCATAAATGGATATGTAAAAGTAAAACTAGCATGGAACTGTATGATTCAATATTGGTTTCAGCAAGCACTGGTATTTCCTTTTGTTTTGTTTTTTTGACTAATAGAGCACCTCATAACTGTTCTTCATGAAATTCTGTTCGTTTCCTCCTTAACGTGACAACAAGAATTGATACACCTTTATCAATTCGCTCATATATTATAGATAAATATTATATTTATTATAAGAGAACACAAATGTAAATTATAATCAATTTAATTTGTCTTCTCCTTTGTTTTCTTCTCTTATATAAATGATTGGCCATTCATGTATCAATATTCATCCCTCTTTACGTGCTTTCTCCATCATCAAACAAACCATTCGAGGATGCTAATTAGAGGGTATGTTTGTAATATCTCGGCAAACACTGCTATCAAAATGAGCAAGCTATGTTTGTTTATGGAAATTAATATACTTGTCTCTTATCTCCTCGTTCGGGGTGCCTTAAGGTATCGATACTACAATTCATATCTGTTTGGAATTCGATGTGCAACAAATAATACATTATTTCTTTTATTATTTAGTAAAATTATTTAGAGACCAACGATTACTAGTTCTATAGTGTTGTCTTGATAAATTCCTATTATACATTCTATCACTGTCGGAAGCCGTTTGAACAACATTTGTATTGTGTAATAGTTTTTAATCTACAGCTTTTAATTTGATGGAATAAAAACTACAAATATACTGCTCAAAAATGAATAGAGATTTGATGCTTATTTTATTAATTTTAATTAATATACCCTATTTTTTTTAACTACGATAGTAATTCTCTTATTTGTTGGTGAACATAAATAAAAATATCTGGTGTGTCCACTCACACGACTTTGCTTCCTATTTCAGAAAGGTTTTTATATCTTTACGTATGTTCATAAAGAAACAAAAAAAAAAAATTGAATTAGATTTATTTTCCTGAAAATTGATCAAAGGAAAGATTTGAGTACGATTTATTTGATAAACTAAAGCAATGTAAACCGGCTTAAGGTAGATCAGTGTAAAAATTTCAATACTCACTAATATTGCTGATCAAAAACTTTTTCCCACAGCTTAATTTTGTCAAACAATGATTTCTGTTAAAAGTAAAGGAAATAGTGGAGCTTGTGTGATAGAGTAACAGATCTTCTTACTTTCACTATGTCATCTTTTTTCTCTCATTCACCCCTTTCTGACATCAGAATATGAACCCATAATCTTACATTGGAAATTGAATTTAATACTGATTTGATTCTGATGATTTTTTTTTTTTGTTTTGTTGGTAATTTAATTACCTTTTAAAAGTTTTATTGTAAATTTTACCGTATAATATACACTTAGCGAGTTAGGCCCCAAAACATTTTCCTTTTCTTTATAACTTTTCTTCCTGAATTTTCTCGAGAATTGAGCCCAATTCTCTTTCCAATTCTTGAGAATTATAGGAAAATTGAAAGGACAATTATTAGAAAATTATAGGAAAGTTCCATCAAAATCGTTAGAGCCGTTTTTCGTTTATTGCGCGCAGGCTATTATGCATGGAGCACCGAATTTCTGTCACAGGTATCACTAGTCAAAACCCTACAAAATAAAAAAAAGAAGCAACAAAATCGGTTCAGTAGTTCCCGAGAAAATCTTGGCACAGACAGACAGACCAATGGCTAAAAATGTGTTTTTCGGACTCATGGGGCTCTGAAACTTATAGATCCGTCGAAAACCGCATCATTTAAATTTGATCCGATCGCAATACTTTCCTAGTATAGGTTGGAAAGTAAAAAAAGAAGCATTCTTTATTTTTAATAAATTATGAACTAAAGGATAGTCAACATACTGTATACTCATTCTGTAAACCTACAGTTATTTTCGACTTCTCAATTCTAATCAAAGTAATATTCTTTTTAAAGAAGGAAAG